CCATAATATTTTCATCTCTAAATTTTACAGTTGGCTTTACATGGGAGTCTCTTAAAGGTTTCTTCACTCTCTTCCAACAATATTCTTTCTTATCACTACTAAAAATATTGAATTTACTTTCATCTGACTAAATTACCTTTAACCAATCTGAAATCGTCCAATGGAAATGCTTCTTCACAAAGGCAAATCGCGATTTCAATATCTTCTTGAAGTAAGGTTTTTTAATTTTGGTTCTTGCCACTAGGCCATTTCTCTGGAGGGTACGACATATAGTTTCAGTATTTACTTCTATATTTTCATCTCTTTCGAGCTGCTCCTTTACTTGAATCACCATGGATGCTTCATTAGACATTATAAAATGAAGCACTTTTCATTCATCACAGTTGATAATTAAGTGTAGACATTTAGATTTCAGTCAATTTTTATTATTACCTGTCTCTTTTAACCGTTTATTTATTTTAGAGATAGTAGAGAAGTAAATATCTTCGATATGAGCAACATAGCAAATGGTATTTCCTTCTTCAAGAAGTACAGCTACCCTAGTTCATTTCTCAGTAGATATTTGTTTCATAGTAGTTTTTTAAATATATTAATAAAAAAAAAGATTGGCAGATAGTTTTTTCTTAATAGAAAAAAGTGGACATTATTATTATTATTATTATTAAAAATTAAAATAATAATTTTTTAAATAAGTTGCAAAAGAATTGCAACAATAAAATAAACAAAATCGATTAACATCAGATGACACAAGATATTAATTGTGATAATCATTATATTAATATTAAATTCAAAATAAAATAAATATAAAAATATAAAAATTTTTTATATTTTTTATTAAAATTAATGAAAAATACTATAACAAAGATAAATTTTTTTTTATTACAATACTTTTGTGAACTACTGTATGTATGGAACTTATTTGTTTACGCAGCAACAACTGCAATAAACAGTGCAACTACAAGTATACCAAATATAAATGTCACCAGTATAGCAACAAATATCTCAAATAAATTAATATTAAAATATTCCTCCAGTAGTTCCTCAACAACCTCTCCAGAATTAAAATTAACAAGTTTTGGTAGAAATAAATGAAACAGAAACAGTGCCATTAACTCAACAAATCTATCCTGTTAAGCATTTAAACTAAAAAATATATTTCAGGAGGGTGGAAGTATGTCTGATAATGTAATTCCCTTATATATAGGAGAAATTTAAGGACTACAACAGTTTTGACATGCTGTTAAATCACAAAATAAAATATTTGATAACAATGAAATTGAAATAACAAATGTGCTTATTTCAGAACTGACAAAAGTTAAAGGTTCTAAGGATAATAAAGTAAAATGAAAAGTGATAAGTGAATAGAAAGAAAGAAAAAAAAAAAGACAAAAGTTAACCTTTACAGAAAGACCCTTATTAAAACAAAAAACTATGTCATATTTAATTGTTGAAGATTTGTTACATGTCAAATCAAAAATTACTATAGGGCAATTATTAAATATACGCAAATTCAAAAATGAATTAAGAAAGGTTATAACTTCAAGACAAAAAAGAGACCTTAAGAAAAAGTAAATTTAAGAAGTTCTTCTTACACTAATACTCCTATGATCTGTAAAGAACAAGTAAGAGAATGAACTATTGATATTATTTTAAATAATAATTTATCTACAAGTATTATTTCAAAAAAATTCCTTGAATATTTAAACAAAACTACAACTTATAAATCAGATAAAATGATCACTGGTATACATATAATAAGAGATCTAGTTTAGGAATTGTTGATAATATTGTAGTTCACATTGGTGATGTAGTTATATCCACAGATATGGAAATAATAGATACAATATCCTATTTTATAGTTTTGAGAACTAATTGATTACAAAAGACCAATGCAGTAATAGATTATAAAGACTTCCAGATAATTATTTCTGATAATTATAGAAAAGCCCAAGTTTCTTGCAGAAATTTTACTGCATCACCTTAGCCAGTAAAAAATAATAAAGAAGATTTACATAATGATGATTATTATAAATATGAAAAGGATAAAGATGAAGATGAGGATGGTAACCTTGTCTTAATGGTAAATGAGGAAAAAAGTCCAGACCAACATTTTTATAAATTTATCCTTTGGGAAATTGAAATTGATCATTAAACCTTTACTTGGCAAGAATATGATTATATGAATTGACAATTCAATCTCTGGTTAACAAATCAAAGGTACTAACATCAAGTTAAACATTGGTTTGAAGGACCTGATAAAGAATGTTAGTGCCAAAAACAATTAACGACAGACAAAGATAAATGCAATAGTTGTTATAAAGATTATTCCCATTGAGAAACAATTCAAATAATTCCTGTTCAAGAAATCAAAAATGCTCAATCATTTTTGATAAAAGGAGGAGCAGAAAAGTTAGCTCAAAATAAATATAATTATATTGTCCAAGATATATATTCCAAATGTTATAGCTAAGGATTTAACTCAACTGGACCATACTAATATTGTAACTCACTATATTGAACTGGAAATGCCGGAGAAATAAAATGACACTATTATAGAACTTTCGTCAAACATGAGTCTTTTATAAAGGAGAAAATAGAGTATCTCAAAGAAAAAGACTTATGCATCTTTAATTTAAATAATGGATATAATATATAATTTTTATAAATTTAGAATATAATTACTTTAAGATTTTTAAGAATTTTCATCAATTTATAAATATGAAGAGAACAATTTCTAATGAAATTCAAGAAAGAATTTTTCTTCTTTGATGTGCTGATTGTAAAGTTCTTCTTATTAGATAAATATTAAAGAAGAATTTTCAGATGTTATAACTTAGATTTATAATAACTTATACAATTTTATTTATCAAAAAGAAATTTTATTTATTGATAAATATTTAATTATGAAATTTTAACTTTACATAGAAAAGGTCAATTTAGATAAAACAACTATCAATATATTTATCTTGATAAGGTAAATTATTCAATATAATGTGAAAAATTATAATAAAATTTTACCTACTGATAAAACAAATATTTTGATTAAAAACCTGGTAGAGATCTTCAATTGGAATAAAAAAAATATTATTTTAAACAAAAATATGAAGATTATAAAAATAGTAACATTGTTATATAAATTTAGCAATATTAAAAACTTGTAAAAATAAAGGTATAATAATAAACTGTACAATATGAAAAACTATTTTGTATTGTACAATTTTATAAAAATAGCCATAAAACTTGTACTTCTTTTTGTTATTAATTAAAGTTAGGGTTAGGTCATGGATATTAATTCTTTTTTATATTATGTACTATATATAGAAAATATACTGTTATTATTAGTTAACTTTTTGAACTAATTTTGTTTTTCAAAAGAAGATTTACAACTAGTAACTTGGAAAAAAAAGAAATGTATTTACAAGTTGTAAGAATAAACTTAACTAAATTTAAAAGGAACAAGAAATAATTTAACTATAAAACTGATAATAAAGAACTTAGAATTTATAAAGACAACTATTAACTATATTAGAATTAACTATTAAATTCAGGTGAGAAATTTAAGAAATTAGAACTAAGAGTCAAGATATTTATCAAAAGAAGTACAAGGTATTAACAAGAGTTTATTAATGAGAATTTATATTTAAAGAATATAAATTCATAAGCAAATGGTAGAGTTTAAATAAAAAGATATATGTTTATTATGAAATAAATTAATAATCTTATCAATTAGGATTGTCAAAAATATTAATTCAATAATAAAATAAATTACAAAGTTATTATAGTAAGATTACTATCTAAATTTCAAGATTAGATCTGTTCAAATCTATTTTAGAAGAAAAGAAAACACACTCTTTTTATAAGAATTATTTTTGACAATGTTCTTACCAGTGTTTCTGTTTCTGACATTAACTTTGACAATCTTTCTGACAATCATTTTGACAATCAGTTAGATAATTAGTTTGACACTGATTTTAATATTGATCTTAACAGTACTACAGATTTATATGAGCATAACAATAACTAATTATAATACTACAATTATAATAATATAACTAATATAATAATAAATAATAAATAGCTAATAGTAAATATGTTAATATATGTTAATAAATAATAATAATAATAAATAATAGTGAAGAAAATCACATATAACACCATACAGTTACATTAATTTCAATTTGTACAGTACAAAATAATTTTTCATACCATGCAGAAATACTATTTTATAAAAATAATTTGAAATATAAAAATAATTTGAACTGTTAAAAATATTTTGATCTTTGACTTTTTTGAAGTTCAAATAATTTGAACCTATTCTACCACTCAAATTCTAAATTATTTTGGAATTTGGACAACACGTATAATCCAGACATCTTTCTAAATTTGTAATTTGATTATTTGAAATAATTGTTACTCAGATCAGTTGTGAGAGAAATTCCTCAATGGATGATCAAAGATTATAGAACAAGACTTGAAGTTCAAAAACTTGAGGGTATGTCTAAAATTCAATCTTATTATTGACTACAAAAAAGAATTAAAATATTATGGTAAAGAATTAAATATAAGTAATTTAAAAGAAATAACAAATAATAGTATAGTTGATAATATAGTTGATTTAAATGGGAAAGAATCATTTTTTTAGATATTAATAATGATAATAATTTTGATTCTAATTCCCATAGAAACATATTAATTTGGGAGGATATTATTTTTGATAATGATATTTTTAATGACAATAATACCAATAGTGAAAGTAATGTAAATACTTTTAATTTTAATTATGACCCTGAATATTAGTTAATGCTTTTATTGAAGAGGAAAATAATAATGTTTAGCAATTAAAATAAAAATATTTGATTTAAATTTACAAGTATTACAAGGAAAATAGAAAATCTTAAATATTTATTTTTTAAACAATTTTTTGACATTAATATAGTTATGGTATAGACCGTAAAAGTACGGCATCTGTTACAGTTGAGAGTTATGGCTATAACTCTAAGTTATGACATGGCTACAATTGGATTGATGATTGGGGTGTTCATGTAGACATCTAATAAAGCATAAAATTAAATCCAATTTTCTTGTTTTTTTTTTTGAAGAATAGATAGAGCAAATACTTACAGCCAACAAAATTGATACTTGCACGCACAAGTCATATGATCACATCCTCTACTTTTCTCGATAGATATTGAACATTTAGGACATCTCTTCGTATTTCTTTGAATATAGTCTTCGGTAGCAGAGTCCGATTGTTTCTTGTCTTTTTCGTATTCTCCGCAAGTTTTACCCGTGTGCCAGATAACTTTGTGAATGTAACATGACTTTCCGCCACAACTTTCACAGATGACAACTGGTGCTTCGTCTATAAAATATTAGAAGGAGAGAATGTACCTCGA